AACCACTTTCAATTATCTGTTGTACATCGCAGATTAAGTGGTTAACTAACTGAAATACTGGCCCACTGACTGACTGACTAAATAACTATACATCTGTGTCCAGTTCCCCCGAGAAAGATTTTCACAAGTGGCAACAGTAATTGCTTCAAAGTAGATTCATTATAAAACTGTCACCAGTAAAAGTTCCCATATTCCACTTCACATGTTTCTCAGAGCACACGTGCACAACGCGGGAAAATAAACCACAGTAACTACGCGTAGAATTATAAAACAATTCTTCTCAAAAACTCCGTAAATATGCAGGTCTACAAAATTCTCCACGCACCAATAAACGGAGATAAGATGACTCGGTTCAACTGACAGACTCTTGTGAACCCGGTAATAAGCGTCAGATTTTAAACAAAATACGGGACTCCAGACTAGCACGAAACGCAGACTCCACCAGGCGCCACCATAACATCGTTTTTATTTCTTGCTACCAGAGTCGCCACTGTCAGAACTTTTTTTTATTTTATTTTTTTTTGGGGGGGGGGGCATCGCATGAACAGTCAAATGTGACGGACATTGGCTGTTGTTTCTAGCGTAGACGCTTCGTTTTTCTTTTACAGAGAAATATCCAAGCCCAGAATATCCACTACTATTACTATATTGTTACCCTCCTTCTCCTCCATACCCCTCCTCCTTTGTTTCTGCTTCTCTCCTAGTTATTTCACTACAATTATACCATACATAACCTCAATTGAAGCTTGAAAAGTGTCTTCAAACAAACGCAAAATTCACCGTGAGATCTTAGTTTTAACTGTGTTGAAAATGTGGATTATTTTCGGATTATGATACGGAGTAGTCCTGACGTTTCATATCAGAATAAGAAAAGAGACGATATGTTTTCTGAAACGTCGGTAACAGCTAAAAGCCAGAAAACCACGATCCAATTCATCACATGAGCTAATCTGTTTGGATTGCTCCCTGAAATTAGTAGAACTTGGCGTTCTTCAGGTTAGTCGTACACAGCGCTCAGAATGAAATAAATTAATGTACACAATTATTCTGTTCGTCTGTGAAAAGTACAGGATTTTATCATATTACAGAGAATTGGCGGCCATCTTTAAACTCGTACGTGACCGAAATGAGTAGCGACTCCCGATGGCAGTGCCTACAGAAGCATGTCTGCTGGGTACATATTTTCTATATGTTCCACTTAAAGCCTGAATGTTGATTTCACCTGCCTTACTCCTTCCGCTGCTATGACAGGCTCCACTTACTTTAATAAGGAGGCCACCAACACATGGTATGTCCATGAAAGCAACAACGAATACTCAAATTTCACTTACAGTTTCTTCCATAAAATAACTACACAGAAAAGGTGACTGGCAATATCATAATCTGTACCAATAACGAACACTTGTTTGTCCATTATATGTCCCACTGTCCTAATTTTTTATCGCATTGATATTTTATAATAAAATTATAAATCTTCACAAATCACCATGATTTTATTGATCCTTCTATTTTGCGTTTTTAGAGTGTTTACAACCTGAAATATGCAAAGTTATTGAATAAAATATTTCCGTTTTGAAGCATCTTATGACTGGACTCGTAACACAATAACTTTAGAGTTGCATGTCATAAATTGTATATCTCTTTAATGTCTACGTTTGTTTGAGATATTTTCCTCTGTAGTGAATATTTATCAAAATAGAAGGAATAATACAATCTGACTTTATACAGCGTGATATATTTAATACGATTATATTTGTGACACTACACTTTATTTGCAATAAATGACTTAACAACGCTATTTCAACTACAGAAGCTATTTGTGTATCATTGAAAAGTATAGAAAGCAGAGAAATGTTGAATATGTAAGTATTTGAAAGGAAGCTGACATGGCCAATTACTCCAGGATCTCGACATTCGGCTTCAGAGACTGAAACGGCGATAAACATCAGTCATGGTATCAGGAAACCCGGTTGAGATTTGAAGCGTGTAGCTCCCAAATGAAACTCTACTCCAAACTACCGTAGACACTATGCGACTGTTTTTCTGAGGGACGGCTTTCGTCAGGACGTGCAGGCGTTTGTGTTCCCGCCCGGAACATCGTGTAGATGGGCACAGTGCCCTTATCCTTAACAAGACCCCCTGGCTTCCAAAAACTACGGTTTCCACTGACCATGGATTTAGCATTTATATTCATGGTTTGGTGATAAATGCGTAATCTACAGTTTACATTTCAACACTAATTTACCAAGATTCATGTATTCCTTGTTAATAAGCGTCTGTCTGTCTGTCTGCATAAAGAATGGCGAAAAGAAACAATCGAATGAGCTGTCTCGTTAGGCGTTACTGATGCCGCATCGGAAGTCTCATACAAACCGGAAACTAGAGGTCACAGGAACTTGTACGATACAAGTGAAGGATTGCCCATGGTTAAGCCTGTGAATTGTGTCCTATTTCCTGAATATTAATGGATTTGGCAGTGGGCGGGCCGAGTCAGGGCAAACGGAAGGTTAGGTAACCTCTAGCCAGTGAAGCGACAGCCACTGTTGCGGGTAGAAAATTAGGCCCTTAGCGATGTCCAGAAGTTGTTAGGTTTGATAATAGGACGCACGTCCCTTTATGAAATGATGTATCCTACACAGTCTAAAGAATAACAGTGGTTGTTAAAAATAATAAAATTATAAAGATTTACGTAAATTTGAATTTCAGGAGTAAGTACGATTAATTTGCATGCTTTATAGTTACTATTATCACGAATGGATCATCAAGATATTAATCATTATTAAAACTACTAATTGAAACACTAATTTCAGTTTATTTTTAAAATCCTACCAACAAATACACTCGGAAACTGAGAATAAATCTTCGGAGACCTAGGTAAAAAAAGGACGGATAATATTAAAATATATTTTAAAAAATATGGTTTAATGACTGGATGTGACTCATCGCCCTGATCGTCCTGATAATTTTGGCAGCAACGACGTCGATAAACTCGTACCAGACTACACGGAGAAACAATCCAGAAGACAAAAATTTCCATGCTCGCCGCTGTGAGAACCTGAAATCTCACGCTGTAATTCATTCAGTTTGAACTTCA